AATCACATATCACCTCTTTCTTAGGGATATTGATATTTTGGACTTATGATATATATGTTTATATATGCCTAGTATATTAGAAATCTTGTGTAAATATGTAGTAATTTTAAATACTTTTAGTTGTATACTATTAGAATATATAATAAGAAAACTACAATATTGGATAAAAATAGTAATCAAATTTTAAATTAAAAAATAGCATATAACTAAAAAATAGTATAACACTTTATAAAAAAATAATATAATAGTTTTAATAAAAACAACATTGTATACCAATTTTGGGAAAACTATTATGGGAACAAATCACTATATAATCAATAGCCTTACTATCGGTTATATTTATAATCAACAGAAAATAAGGCTATCGATTATGATGAAGCCCACCACCAAAAAATTGAAAATCCCAAGCATTTGGAATTCAAACATAAACGACAGAATTTCTATCGCATATGTTAGTTATATAACCATCTCCTACCTTCGAACATTCAATTGTGATTGCATTTCCAACTATCTTTTTTCCAGTTTCTTCTACCTATCTCTGCCTCTTTCTTTCCCATAGCTAAGGCATTATTTTTTCTCCAACCTCTTATCCTTTTCCTTTTTTTTTTCTTTCATTCTTTATTTTCTCAACTAAGAATTTCAATTGTTTGATATGTTAATAATTAGTTTATTTTTAATTTGTTATTTTTGCAGGCTCTATTTCTTTCATTATGAGGTAAATTCTTATTTAAAATTTGTTTAATACTCTTCATTTTCTTTTATTTCAATATCATAATGTATTTTACTATAGATTCGTTTTCTTTTCCCTTCTTTTGCATAATTATTATCTCAAAATAAGGTAAGTTCTTATTTTTAATGCTTTTTATGTTCATTTATTATTTCTTGCAACGTTAGTTTTTTATATTCTTTATAACATTATTTCATATATACTTATATTACTTATGGACTTGGAATTTTTGTTGAATTATGTTTGATGATTGCTTGTAATGTGATTAGTAGAG